GAGTGTCTATATCTGTTGGTTCCTGGAGCTTTCCCTTTTGGGTTTTAACTACCCTGTTGGTTCAGGGTAGTTATTTGGCTTCTTTCAATCAAAAATCCGTTCATCTTCAATGCCAAATTTTTTAGAAAATCTTTTCTAAATTACGGCTTTGCTTTTGTTTTGTCGCTGAAACTGTACAAAATGTGGGCATTTATTCCTGCCATATTTATTGTTGAAAAAAGAGGATTCAAATTCGAATTTATTTAGTATAAATGTTAACAATATTTATATAAATACGTCAGCAGTCTTAACTTTAGTACTTAACAAAAAAATCATCGAACATCCCGTTGTTTACAGAACAAAAACATTAACATTAACCACCAAAGTCACGCAAGTGTATGGTGTCGCACAAATAGTCAGAGTACGAATAGTAGGCCTTCCGAATTAAAAAAGTTTTAATTTTATTCTTGAACAGTTCAGGAGGCAACCGAGCAATGTCGTTCGGTATTTTGTTATAGAATTTTACTCAAAGAAATTTAAAATGGCACTGACTTCGACCTAGTCTACAAAAGGTCGGTCTCAGTTGGGTACCGTTTCTAGTCCGATATTTATGTAAAGTGTCATGACTAATAAAGTCGTCGAGATTTCGCCTTACAAATATTACACATTCCAAAATGTACAATGACGGAAAGGTCAGTATATTATGGTTTGTAAAGGACCTACGGCAATCATCCATGTATGTTAGCGAGTTTATTATGTCACGAACCTCAACAAATGTTGCTTGATCAGTGGAAAACCCACAATCAACAACATTAATTTTTTGCAAAAGGCAATCAAACTTATCATTTATGTTGGACTTTTTTAAGCCATTTAGTAGTTCAAGAGGTACCTTAATAAAGTTCAATCAAATTTTCTTGTATCGAGCGCAAGTACTTCTGATAGTCAGATTTAATCAAATTTTTAGAACGTTTACGAAGAATGGTAAAAGACAAATAATAGTTATTGTTGCCAAAACTCTTCCAATTACGATGAGCTTTAAGTTTCTCAGGAATGACTCTTACTGTGGAAGGAGAATACCATGGTGGAAAACGACATTTAGACACGGGTTTATGCGGAACATGAGCGCTGACGAGATCGTAAATCGCATCATAGAAGGCTCTAACAACTCCCTCAATCCCACGGCCATCAAATCGTTCCGACCAGTCGATCGCGCAAAGAGCATCGTTAATCGCCACATAATCAGCTTTGTTATAAAAATATTTAACTGAAGGACCATCAAGAAAACAACGCAATTGAACGTTGACAACAACAAATTCAATTGCGGGGTGGTGACGATCCGGCTTAACCAACGGATCCGGACAACATTTAATTTCCCGTACAGTGTCAATGTTACACAAAATGAGATCAAGT